ACCAGTAGGGTGACAGGGATCCTAGAGTAACCCAATTGGGAAACAATGTAGTGTAAATAGCCTATATTTGGGAGTGGGGTGTGTTTTGGGTGTAACCTTTTTCAGGCATAAGTACCCGGCTTCGGCCAGGGGTTTCTCAGTCTTCTTTCTCTTGCTGAATCACTAATAAACTATGAGCTGATCACCTGAATGCATCTGAACCCAGTATATTTCATGATGTGTGTGCACAAACATATAGAGGCATGTCAGGGATCTCTTGTCAGCATATTTTGGCACAAAGGACCTAGAAACAGTGCAGAGGAACTTCCACCCTGGTGCAGAAATTGGTCACTTCTCCTCTGGTTGTGCCAGTCTGTGAGTCTATAGTTTTTCAGTAGATGACTGTGCTCTCTGTGTTTTGGAGGGGCTGCACGGATCTCCTGTAAAAGGCAGAAAAGGGAAGATAATTTGATGAAGGTATAGTGGTTAAAAGAAATGTAGCAGAGTGGGAAAACAGGCTCATACTTTCTGCCCTTAAAAGCAAGATACTGAGGGCCTCTCTTGCAGACAACGCAAGAAAAGCCACTTGCCTTCAGATGTTTGTGTAGCAAATGCCAAATAATGCCTTCCTTGTGACAGCCCCTACATGACAATTCCATTGGCAATGATGGTTAATTAATTACACAGTCTTACACCCGCCTGTTTCTCTCAAGGAACTCAGCTGCTCTGCTTTGCCTCCCCCTTTGCAGAGTTTTGTTTACTTCCTTGTTCTAGTAAATACATTGCCAGATGTCCTTCTTTCTCACAGCTCCATAGAGCGTAATGGGTCTCCTTTATTATGAATGTCACATCTCATAGCATTCTAGAGAACATAATACATCACTTTACAGTGGTCTTATTTTTGACATGTCAATGTCAGGTATTTCTCAGTATGCAGGACTGCTTCCATGTTTGCAAAATGCAGGTTGGGGGACCTTACACAGTTTGCCGAATGCTCTCAAAGCAAGCACATTCCCGTTACTTGGAAACAAACCGAGAACAGAAATATCAGCAGAGGCACTATGTGCTGTGAAATTAATGAAGTTCCTCTTTTGTTTGTTTCCTAACACCTAATCCTGAACTGTTTTATATGTACCCAGACACAAGGCTGGGTCCACTCCGTTCTTTTCCAGGATACCACACCACAGAAAATAGAGCAGAAGAGAATTTGGGGCTATTATTTACACAATACTTCAGTAGATACGATCCTCCTCCTACAGAAAAGTGAGGAATGTGTTCCTCTGTGTGAATGTGTGGAGGGCATATATTTGAAATTTGCGTCTTCCTGAAGATCCCCTTATAGAAACCGCTTATTTGCTTCCTTTGTTACTGTGAATGAATTCCAGAAATAATGTTATGTCATGAGAGAACCCAGGGTGGCAGAGTAGTTTAGGGTGTTAGACTGGGACTGGAGTTCAAATATCCACTCAGCCTTGAAGCTCATTAAATGATGTTGGGCCAGTCACTCCGTGTCAGGCTAACCTACTTCACAGAGTTGTTGCAAGGATAAAACGCAGGAAGGTAGAAACATGTATGTAATCTACCCTGAGCTCCTTGAAGGAAGGGCGAGATAAACATGCAGTAGATAGTGATGGAAAAATAACAATGATGTAAACATAACAAAAGAGCTTCCTTGGTGGCCCCAGAGGGCAGAAAGGCAGGGTATAAATTCTGTAAACAAATAAACGTGATCAGTTAGGTACATATTTTGGGATGCTTTCCTCTCTTACATTTGTCATCTCAAATGACAGGGGTCAAGGCACCAGAAAAAGCAGCAGAATAGAATAATAACAATCCCCAACTTTTGAGATATGCTCATGGTTATATATTAGAGGTTGGTGGGGGAAGGCATGTCAAGGCAGACGATGATATCGCCCACTGCGGTTCTTAAACGTCGGATGAAGGCTACTGCTCCTGACCCTAAAGCTGCCCTTCCTCTCCCCTCGCCCGGTTGGATCCTCTGAGGCCGGACCCTGTCCGTCTGTCGAGACTCCCCCGAGCCTGGCCCCTTTCCGAGGTCCGTTCGCCCGCGAGATTGGCCGGCCGGAGGGCTGGCTGCCTGGAGGGGGGGGGGGCTTTAGGGGTGGCTGGCCGGAACCTGACTCTGGGGCTGGAATGGAGAGCGCGGTCTGCAGTCAAGCGGGGTCCGGGTGATAGGAGCCGGCGACTGGAGGCAGCAGGACGTCCTGTTAGCGTGCTAGTCTCGGAGAGGGTGAGGGAGGGAGGGGCCAGCTGGCTGGCTGGCTGGCTGGCTGCCGGCGGGAGGGGGGAAATAGGGGGGGGGTGAGTAGAGAAAGAGGCTTTAAGGGACTGAGTTCAGCCAGGGGTTACGGGGCAAGTATGGGGTATGTGGGGGGACTAAAACAAGCGCTCGAAAGAGGTAGAGGTGTTTGTACGTCGCCAGTGAGTGAGTGAGTGAAGGGGGGTATTTGTGTGGAATAGAGAGATGGGAGGTACAGTTAGGAGGTGGGTGGGTGGGAATCTAGGGCAGTAGAGACTTCGGGACATAATGCAGAAGGAAACGGCTGCGAGGCAATGGGAGGGGTATAAAGGAAACGGGGTGGTGGGTCCTCGGTAGGGTTGCCAATCTCCACGTGGGGACTCTCTCCACGTGGGGACTGGAGTCCTGGTCCTTGGAGGGTTGTGGAGGCGGATGGATGGGGTCCACCAGAGTAAGGGGCTGGCTGGGAACCCAAGTGATGCTGGGTTTCTAGGGCCGTTGTGCTGAGCCATACGGTGGGGCAGCAACTGAAAAAGCAGGATTAAACAGCAGAGCTCACTTCATCAGATGCATAGAGTGTCTGTTAGGTGCCTAGAATGACTCTGGCAGGTTGGAAAGGGCAGCTGTGGAGAGAGACTGGGATGTTGGGGGTTCTGGGGGAGCTGAGAAGGAAGAACAGATTGCTGGGGGGGGGGGTCCATCAGGGGTCCCAGCCCATAGTGAGAACAAGGGTCTAACTGTGGTGGTGGGTCACAACATGAAAGGAACAAAGCTGAGTCCAGTGACTCCTTTAGGACCAACAGAGTTTAATTCTGGGTATAAGTTTTCATCTGATGAAGTGCACATGCACACAAAAGCTTATCCCCAGAATTAAACTTTGTTGGTCTTAAAGGTGCCACTGGGACCCAAACTTTGTTCTGTTACTTCAGACCAACACGACTACCCACCTGAATCTACTAGCGTGAAAGGAGTATCTTTTTTAATAGCACAGTTTCTGGTGGTGGTAACCTCTTTCCTGCTTTTCGACTCCAGCCCAAACTTCCTCTGAAGCTTCTTTCCAGTACATGCAGTGCCTGGCATGCCCTGGCAACCTTCCTTTCCCCCTTCAGAACATTTTCTTTCCATTTGATAACCACATGGGAATAACTGGCTCCATTGCAATCAGATATATTAAAAAAACCTTGGCTAGAAGTATTAATAGATTTCACTCCTTCTCTGTCCCTCTCCCTCCTCTCTTTCTCTCACACACATTGCATAGTTGCCCTTGTGTTTCCAGCTTTGACAGAACAAAACAGGAGTGGAGACTTTGATGCGTGGGGTGCCAAGTGCCACAGGCGTGTAAGGCTGTATATCCCTGGGCAAGTTGCCCCATACTTCTGGGTATTTGCTTTTCCAGCCAGTGCACAAGGCAATTAGGCAGCAGCAGGTTGGTTTACAGTAGAAGGTTTAGAGAGGAATCCTCAGAATCCTACGCAGCTCTATTCAGTGGGGTTTACGACCAGGAAAATATTCTTAGGATTGCAGTGGTAAACTCTAGTTTCCTGCTTAAATTGTTTAGAGAGTGGTTGGATAATTTATTCTGAGTTATGTTGTGGGCTGTGCAGTGTGGGCTGTTATTGAATTCAGTCAGCATCACTCTGCTTACTGAGTCTATGGGACTTTGAGTCTCAGCTTTCCCACCACTAAAATGGAACTAGAATTCCCCCAGTTCATCATTAATTCAAAGGGATTCGTAGGCCATTAGGCATGTCTCTTAAATAATAGGAAGAAACACTTAGGCAAGTTCCTTGTCAGTGGAAAACATATTTGGGAGTAGTTTTATTTCCACTTTTCCTTTGGAAGAACTTTGCTCTTCTCAGTCGGGAACTGGTGGTAAGGTTTAAAAAAACTTACAAGCAACATTCTTGTTTTTGTGATATTTCTTCAGAAGTGGTAGAAGGATAAAAGTGTCCCTCTAATTTCCCTTTTCTGCTTCCAAAGCTCGTGAGAAAGACATTAGGTAAGAGAGCCCCTTCTATGGGACCAGCATCTGTGTGCAAATATTGGCAAGGTTGTTGAGTGTCACAACACTGTTCTTCAGGGCTTGTGGTTGGGGTTGTGCTGCAGCCAGGGGCAGATTCCAAGCTGACAGCAGCTGCTCAGGGGGCACTTCATTGAGTGCTATGAAGGGAGTCTTTGCTTTGTGCTTAGAGCATGAAAGGGTCTGTAACATGACGCTTGGGATTCTAAGGCTGGAGATGTGTGTGTGTGTGTGGGGGGGAGAAAGAATAGTTGGGGCTTGTAAGCTGCATGTGATTTGCTTATTGTGCCAGCTGGAAAGAGAAAAAACTCCCGGGCCTTCCTCTGGCACTAATCCATGAGTTTTTGTGAACTCCTGTGCCAGGCAGAAGAAAGAAGTGAGGCTGTCTTGCAAATTGCTGCCTTCTAGGCCTTATCCTAACTTTGCAAGTTTATGTGCATTGACTTACCATTGCTCTGGATTCTGTCACAGCTTGTGAGGACTATGAGGAATGAATTGCATGAGAACAGGGAAACGTGATGTGCACCGCACATGTGGGAACATGCACACACGAACCCAGTTGTTAGCAGGAAAGAAATGTGAAGCGACGGGCGTCCCTCCCCTTCTATTCTCTGATTAGCTGGGAAGAATGTTTGGCTGTGACGTTGGCCACTTTTTGGGGGGTGGAATGATGGTGAGGAGAAGAGGCAGCAGGAGTCAACTTGAAATCGCAAGTGGTATACTCTTGTGTGATGTGTGAGCCAGCAGCCTCTGACTTTTTCGTGCATGGACAAGCTTATCCAGTAGTTTGTCCTTTGGTTCGGAAGTCTGCTTGTTGTTGACGGCGTATATTTTTGGGTAGGTCTCTCTCTGTCTTCCTGCTTGCTGAAGTATGGGATAAAGGGGCGGGGGAGGGGGGGGAGGGTTTGCATAGCTCAGCTTTCTCTGGCACAGTTTGAAACACATTGTTGCCTAGAGGGAAGAATGTTCCTGCCCTGATCTTAGCTCGATAAATTTTCAGGAGAAAAGACAATCCCATTCAGCTGCTGTTAAATTAATTGCGTGTGCTTGTAACTTGGGTGCTAGTTGGGCTGTTTGGGTGGGAGACTCCATTGTGAAACAGCACAATATTACTGTGAAGTGGGAGGACTCCATCAAGAAATTGCTGGAGATGAACAGAAAACAGTAAGAACTGTCTCTTTGGATCTGAATTTGCATGTGGAGAGGAAAGCTAAAGAGTCTTGCTGATTTCTGTTTTTGACTCTGGCAACATTTTCAGCATACACCCTAGATTATTATTGTTGTCGTCGTTGCCATCAGCCACATGGAACTGCGCAGAATATAAACATTCAGTTTCCTGCCCCAAGGGGCTCACAATCTAAAATCTAGACAGAGAATTCAGTACAGCATGCCAGGCAGATTTTGACAGTTATAGTAATTTGTCCTGTGGCCCAATTGAGACCTGGGCTTTTCATGTGAGATAAATGGCGAAAGTTGCACTGCTGTTCACACGCCCAAAGTGCACATTCTCACAATGGTTATGCTATATCAGGAGGAAGTTAATGAGAGGCAAGGTGATCCTAGCCTGTGTTCAAGACTTCAGGCAGATACGGTAGACAATAAGGGAGCCCTCCCAGACACGTGAGCACAGTTTACAGGGTTATTGTCATTAGGACTGGCAACACAGGAAGTGTTGAACATTGAACTGATCTACCAGGTGCATTGCTTTTGATTGGATCAATTTCAGATAGCTTTCTGTTCACATACAATGCAAACTGGATTGATTTACAGTACAGTCTTAAGCAGAGTTACAGTGGACTTAAATGGATTTAGAAGGGTATAAATCTGCTCAGGACTGCTCTACAAGCCTTTTCATCATTCTGGTAGATAAAGAATCACTTTATGATTTGACTTAAAACATAGCAAATTTGGTTGGTAGCAAAGCACAGGTCTTCAAAGAAATGTATTGTGGTCGGATAGCTCCCCTTTGCTTTTCCTTCCTCCTTTGTACTGGTTATATTTATGTTTTTCTGAGGAGCTGATGGTTGGAGTGGGTGAACTGAGGGATGATCAGTGTTCAGGATAATTTGTGGAGAATTTATGTAAAACAGTTTTATTTCAGAGAGCATTTGGTAGACGATAAATAGTTCTGGCAGATCTGGCTGTGTTTTTAAATAGTGTGTGTTTTATCTTGCATGTTGTTTCTATCTTGTTGATGAACTGTTATGCTGTTTGTGTATGTTTGCAACTTGTTGTTGCTTTGTTAGCCACCTGGAGTCTAAGACAGTAAGGCAAGATATAAACATTTTAAATAAATGAACAGAAATGTTTTACAGTGCCATTCTAAACAGAGTTACATCCCTCTAAATACATTGAGATCAGTGGGATTAGGAGGGTGTAACCCTGTTTAGGACAGCACTGTTTGTCCACCTGGTTAACGTGGCAATATTTTTGTGAAGCTGGTATCCTTCTGGTAAGGAGCAGGAAATACTATGGATAGCTGCATGAAGAATGCTATGAAAGAGTATTTTGTGGAGGCCACAGTGTCCAAAGGACACATCAGACCAGATGTCCTTCCCATCAAGGGCTCACAGTTCCTGTTCAAGGCAGAGGGAGGAATGATGATAAATGCAGAGGGATGAAATTTGATCTATCCACCTCACTTATAGATACCAATAGCCATGTTGCTGTCTTTACATTTTGTTCTTCTCTGGAGTAGTCATAGTTTTACATTTGTGAGTTTTATGTTGTGCTCTGGTCACATGTCACAAGCACAGCAGCTCTGATAACTTCTCAGATGGGAGGCTGACAAAGAGGCTCCAGTGTCTCAGGAAGTGGCCCTTGCTCAGCTTTTTCTGATTTTTCACATTCATCAGGTGGTGTTGGTTTTAGGCCCTTTCAGGCATCCATCCAGCTACTTGGGAACTGTTTCTCTGTAGTGCTGTTCCTCCTGGTTGTTGTGCATGTGTGAATATCACAGCTTAGGTGAGCACGGCTAGTGTTGCCTGTCTCATTGGCATCTTCTGTTGCCGTTGTGGAGAGACTTTCATGATTGGCTGCATGGGACTGCGTCAATTGATGTCATCAAGTGGCTGAAAGATTGCTACTGTTATTTTCCCCTGCTGTTCAAGACCAAACAATTAATTTATAATGCTAGAGGAGCCAGGACTCAGATTTGTGTGAAAAATTACATCCTCTTTCCTGAAAACCTTTTCTGTGAAACCATACTTCTGGGAACTGGTACGGCTACTCAGTAGTAATGGGAAGTTACATGCTCAAAAGCATTTTGTTCATTGTTATTTCTTCATACATGCAAGATTTGAGTGCTGACACGGAAATGAATTTTAGGGCTTTTCTTTATTCATCTTGTGGGTATCATAGTAATAGGGATGCTAAAAGTGTTTTGCTTCTTTTGTTTTACCTTTCTGTTTCTAAAATGCAAAGTTAACAGAGTTTAGTGAATGAGACCCCCTTCCTTCCTTATTGGATTGTAGCTCTATGTAATTCTGAACAAAGCCTGTGTAAGAGTTCTTGGCCCTATCCTGTAATTGTACTGTTTTGCTGGAGAATCACAAGCCAGGACTGGTTGTCCCACTAGGACTGGAAGACAACTGAAGACTGAATGGGAGATACTGGGTCGTGTTATCATCTTAGCAAATGAGAAGTGTGATTCCACTGTGTCATGCAGTAAAATCCTGTGCTTATTTACTAGGACATTGCAAGTCTTATTGGTTTCAGTGGGTAGGTTTGCAGCCCCACTGAATGTGTCTGGGTATATTTCTGAGTAAACATGCACAGGATTGGACAACAGGGGTGGATCTACACCAGTAATAAATTTAATTTCACTAATCTTTGAGCACATGCTTTGACCTCCTGGAATGTGATGTTTTCTTAAGGAAGGCTAAATTTGTCTAGTTTCATCTAGAAATACCTGATTCTGTCTGCCGGGATAAAAAACAAACACAAAGGATAGGGATAGAGCTGAGGATGCTGAAATAGAGTTATGAAGTATCTGGACTCTGGGATTGTAAAGTACATACCTGAAAAACATTTATATCTCTAGATAAATGGATACACAGCTGAAATGACAATTGTGGGAAAGGTTGTCCCTTGCTAATCAGGTATATTCACATGAAACAGCTCAGAAGCAGCATATTAAGGAGTGATGGATTGTGGAATTTGATGTGGGATGTACTTGCTCCTTGCACAATTTTCAGTAGCTGATCCTGCAAAAATGATTGCTTTGGAGGTGTTGTTTTAAATAGAAGGAGTGTAGGGCAGGAACTAGAAAGGATTACTGAAGAAATGGGCCTGAATAGCAGTGCTTCCAGGTGTGTGTGTGTGTAGGGGTGTTTACTGAAAGAGGAGAAATTTTAAATTTGTTTGAGAAGACAGCTGGATCCTAGCCTGAGGAGGTCAGGAAGGCTCCCATGCTTCTGTCATTCCACAAACTATGTAAAATAGAATTGTTCAGGAGGGCTTTTCTGTAAAGGTAATACGGTAAAGGTTTTCCTTGCTCGAAAGCCAGTCAAATCTGACTCTAGAGGGCAAAGCTCATCTCCATTTCCAAGCCGAAGAGCCAGCACAGTCCGAAGACTTCTCTGTGGCTGGCATGACTAAACGCCAGGGGCCGCAGTGGCTCAGAGGTTAAGACGCTGAACTGCAGACCTGAAGGTTGGTAGTTCGGCAGTTCGAGACCCGAGTGCTGCATGACGGAGTGAGCTCCCGTCTCTGGTCCCAGCTCCTGCCAACCTAGCAGTTCAAAAGCAAGGAATTACAAGTAGATAAATAGGTACCGCTTTGGTGGGAAGGTGTGTTCCGTGTGCCTTGGCATTTAATAGGGCTATACTATAACTGAAGGGCTGCGATGGCTCAAGTGGTTAAGACGCTGAACTGCAGACCTGAAGGTTGGTAGTTCGGCAGTTCGAGACCCGAGTGCTGCATGACGGAGTGAGCTCCCGTCTCTGGTCCCAGCTCCTGCCAACCTAGCAGTTCGAAAGCAAGAAACTGCAAGTAGATAAATAGGTACCACTTCAGTGGGAAGGTAACAGCGTTCTGTGCGCCTCAGCGTTTAGTCATGCCAGCCACATGACCACGGAAATGTCTTTGAACAGCGCTGGCTCTTCGGCTTGGAAATGGAGATGAGCACCGCATCCCTAGAGTCGGATTCGACTGGCTTTCGAGCAAGGGAAACCTTTACCTTACTATAACTGAATGGTTCAGAAAGGCACTTATAAATGGAAAAGGACTGTAGACTATATCGCTGTGATAGGAAGTATTATTTGTTTGCTGTATGTATTATCCTACTGTCACTGCATTATTTTCTGCTGATGTAAAGCCCTTGTTATGCATTGGATCTGTATTCCATATCATGTCTAATAGGTTGTGCTTGTTTCACGTTTCTGTAATCCTAGTCCTGCTGCATTGTTTATTAGATGTCTCATCCTATTGATCACATCAATCACATGTGTAATTTCCACCCAATTCAAGCTGTCAGGACTGTGAACAGTTGCAAAGCAATTGAAAATTAGCTTAAAATACATATATACAAAACAGCTGTTAAAATATAAACAAGAAGGAGTTCCATAAAGGGACACCAAACCAAACTGAAAAGTCTTCACCTGATGGTGGAAGATTATGATAGGTGGGCAGACTAATCTCCTTCGGGATGGAATTCCACTTTTAGTGCCATGGCCCTTTCTTGGATTGCTACTGTCTTGCTTCAGATGGCAGGGGCACCTGAAGCAGCGTTCCTGAAAATGACCATAGAGCTTGGGAAATTTCATATGGGAGTAGGCAGTCTTTGAAGTCCTTGTGGCCCCAAGCCATATGGGCACCTTGAGCTGTGCCCAGAAGCA